AATATTTAAAAATAATGCGGCTACATATAATACTTCGTTCATTGTTTGTATTTATGTATTAATTATTAAAATCATTGTAGAAACAAAACCAATTTGTTGAATCAATTCATTTAAAGAATAATAAAAAAAGTTTTGTTTTGACTGCCCATGATATATTTATATAAATTTGTATTAGCTATGTAATGTTTTAATAACATTTATTTTACACAGTTTATTTGTAAATACATTATACATACATCATACACGTTTGTGTACATAATAGTTTCATTGATAACATTTTGGATTACAAATTGTACTTCATTATTATTGTATACTTAGTTTTACTTAAAAGTAATTAAGTAGTAGTTAGTTTTAGTTTGATTGAGTTTAGTTTTTCTACGTTTTAAAATGTTATAAGTATTAAATATTATTCATATAATACGTTCGTATTTCGTTCCTTTTATCTTGGAATTTAGATGTTAATTATTGTAATAAAAACCCGTTTATATGTACGTATATCATTTTAGTACTATAATTATTATAAAAATATATATAAATGTATATTCATTTTTTTTTTTTTTTGGTATTATCTATCATAAAAATGTAGAGAATTGATTTGTGAAATCAGTTCGTAACTATTAATAGGTTTGGTCAAATATTTTTCGAATAATAATTATGTTGTACCAGTGCCGCAACTACAAAATAGGAGGCCCGTGTGCGGTAATTATATTAGGCCCCTTCCTAAGATTTATTTTTGTTGTACGTCTTATTTATAAATATCAATTTTTTTAGATTTTAAAACACGTTTCACATCAGTTAGTGTATTATATATATATATCAAATTAAATACTTACAACTATTGTATATTATACTTCACTATATATTAATGTAGTAAATTAATTTAAGTAGTTTAGGTAGGTAAATTGTATACCTACTCAAATACTCAATGGACTCATTGTCAAATAAATATTATATTACTCTAAAATATTATAATATCCTTACCTGTATTTTGAAAAAAGCTTCTTTTTATTATAAAATAATAATATAATATTATTAAATAATTTTGTGTTTGTAAAGTGTAGTTTATTTTAGGCTGGGACTAGGGGGCCCCCCAAATGTATGTAAGTCTAGGAGCCCGTGTGCACGACACACTCTGCACACCCGGTTTTTGCGTCATTGGTTGTACCTATGAGATGATACATTCAATTTACATTAACATATACTTACCATAAAATAATAATTCTAATGCTTATTGTTTTGCATACAGCATATTTATTTTACAAATTATTTATTTTACGTTGTTTATTTATTACAATTTTCTGAACACAGAGAAAATTATACAATTATACATAATGATGAGTAAAAAATAAGTAATTGTATGGATAGGTACTATTTTTCATAAATATTTATTTTAGGAAATTTAAATTTTGATTTTATTTTGAAAGTGTTATTGCATGAAGTTGTTTATTTTATTTTGAACTATATTTCAATTGCACAATAAAAATATCCATGTGTATTATATGTTAATACAAAGTATAGTAAAACATTAAAAAGTTGGGTTTTGTTGTTTAACACGAAGTACAAATTAGCAAACACTAATACATAACCGAATTTTTACTAAATTACAGTTTACTTTTATTACTACTATATTGTACATACAATTTACAATATTAAAATGATGTTAGTAATTCTGTACATAGTAGGTTAAAGTTTAAATGTATTAAAAAATATTATAGTAATTTATTAATTTTTTTTTTTTACATTATTACGTATGTTATTATAACTGTTAAATTAAGTTAGTTTAGGCTCTTTCGATTTTTTTTCAAACAAAGAAAGGCTAGATTAAATTATTAACAAAAATTCATTATATTTACATTCAGATTATTATCTAACCAATAATTATTAGGTAAGTACTTTATCAGTAGGGAACGGATTTATATGTAAATACATATTTTTATTAAAACGAGATATTTAAAATTTGATAAGAAATGTTCATGATTTAAATCATTCCTATTAATATGATGCTACTTTTATTTTACATATTTTGGTATAATTACATATTTTTACATATTTCACTAATTTGTAAATATTTTTAAACATATTTTATTATTTCATCATTCATACGTCTTCTTCGTACAAAAATACAAGAAATTATTTCAAATTTATATCCAGAACTTCTATCGCTATTAGAAAAGCTCAAAATATTATTCAAAATGAAACATTGAAAACTAATTTAATTTTCATCTCAGTGAATTTTATTTTCATTGCACATACATTTACAAAATTAGAAACAAAAATATGTCCTTGAATGAAAGTATGAAAATTGTCGAATCAAGGATTGCAAAATGAAAACTCGTAAACGGACCAATAGGAGAAGTAGTAAAAAAGAAAATTCCTATTTTTACCGAAAAAAATTTCAGGCCATATTTATTTTAAATCAATCAATGACATAATGAGTGGCAGACACCCTTCTAAAAATTTGGAATTATCGCCTTCTAATATTATTTTTTCAAATATGCTTTAATCAACCAACGTAGGTTGATTTGGAACGATCATTTAACCGTTTTAAAAATATTTTCAGATCTAATAGGCGACATTTAATATTTGATAATTTAAAATATATTGTAATAATTCAATGCAACAAATCATTTTGATAATTTGATAATTATAATTTTATTTTTTTCCTACATATTTGGATGGTTTTAGTACATATTTTATAAATTATACGTACATACATATGTACATATTTATGTATTTTTATTACATATAAATCCGTTCCCTATTTATCAGTATTATTTTATTATGTTTAGCAATATCACAATGGGCACATTGAGCACAGGAAAATAGGATTTATACTTTATTCAATTACTCAAATACTCGATAGATACTAATAATTTATAACTACTAATCATAATTGCATATTCTTAAGGATTTATACATCATAAAATAGTCGCTACAAATCTAAGATAGTTTATCAATAATGATAAACTATACCGTCTGATAATGATAATGATAAACTATAACCATAGACTTTACAATATTAATAAACATTTTGTTATTGTTTAATCATTTGGTTTTCAATTACTCACCCATAAACATGAATTTTAATAATTTAAGAACAAATATGTTGTTTTTTTCTATTAACAAATTTCCTCTTTCTTCATCAAAGGCGTTTGCCAACTTAAAAAAATTGACAAGACCACGCGTCTCGTTTCGAAAACAACTCTAATGTAACACGAGCATCATTAATAATGGATACCTACAAACAATTTGAATCATTTTATTTTTTTTGCTCTATATTAAATAATATAATAATGCCGATAGATTTTTATAAGATTATATCTGACCTGTACACATTGTGGTTCCATAAGTATAAATTTAGATTTTTAAGCTATCGTTTGTGTGAATCACGAGTATCTACCTAATTCAACCTAACAATTTCTCGCATTTGATCCAATAGGAAAAAGTATATTCAAGGTTCACCACATTAGTTAAGTAATAGATTTAATACATTCAATTGTGTGAAAAATGATTCGTTAGAGGGAAACATTGGCCCATACAAAATATTTATAAAATTCATCATCAGATATTATTACAAAGTCAATACAATCACAAATGAATACGAAAAAATAAAAGAATGAGTATATTGAGAAAAATTAGTCGTTTTACATAGAGATAATTTATTTTAACGTGAAAGATTATTTAAAATGAGATCTTATTAGACATAGATATGTTAGAAAATATAATTACTTTGGTTATTATTAACTAAAATGTGTTGATATAAGATTTGTTTTGAATTCATAATTGATTTAAAAACTAAATTTAAAATTTAGCTTAACTTGGACGTAGCAATCAATTATCTTGAAGAGAGATTTTAACAAACGCATAACCACTTCAATCATTTTAACTTTTTGCATGACATAAATGATAATATTCAATACTCCTAAATTGTTTAGTATTGCAGTTTTAAAGTTTCAAAACTCAAAGAACTAAGAGATGAAGTATGAAATAATTCAAAACAATTCATTGTGATAATACAACTTACTGTTAATAAAATAAATAAAAAAATCAGATGTTGATGTAATAGAAATTACAAATGAGTTAGTAGCAATATCTGAATTATTAAAGCCCAATAATATTCCATTAGGAGTGTTACAGTTTATCATAAATGACAGTTTTGTACCAAATATACTTTACTTTTTAATACATTATAAATGAGAATCAGTACTCGGGCTTTATAGCATTTGCTTATTATTATAGAATACTGATTATTATTATCGTATGACTTAATATGCAAATTTTACAGACAGAATAAAGATAAAATTACCTTATTAGCTCTAAATTCGTAACTCTAAAATTCAACTCTAAAATTTTTCATATTTCGCAGTTATGAAGTGATTTTCTCCAATTTTGGTGCTGAATACTATGGTATACAATATTTTATTTATTTTCAAAGAAATCTCATCGTTTTAATCAAAATTGTCGACAATTCTTGCGACTAGAAATGAAAAATACTCATATTCCCGTTTCGATATTTATACATCATGCATAAACAAATGATCAAAGAAAATATTCTGGAATTAATTGTTTTTGATATACTATTAGCGCTTGTTCTAAAATATTTATAAAACGTCATATTAGATAGCGTGTGTTTCATTAATTTTTAATGCCATAAGCACTGACGACGAATATTGATGACAACGGACGCGCGGGCATTGTGTACAGTCGAGTACGACAGTTAATCTGTAACAAAGAACATAACCGTCGTCCTTGAGGCTATTGGCGAAATTCGGAATTGATAATATATATTACAACAACACGATCCGGCCCGCGTTTCCCCTTCACTACCGACGCAGAGTTTCACGTCCTGCAACGACAACAACAACAACAATAACAACATCGAAATAGTAACGTAATGATATTCGCCCCTTCCACCCCTTCACGTCACGCCACGCTTGCTCCCACCGACCATGCGCGCGCGCGCGTCAAGTGTGCCGGATCAGCTGTTCGGTGGTGAAATCGAAATCGGCAATCAGCGTCGTACCGTTGACACCGACTCGCGTTATCGACCGCATTACCACGGCGATTAAATACGGCGTCTTCGACGTCGCAGTTGTAATCTGTTGTCCGCGTTCGTTCCATTGTAGTTCGTTTCGGTGAACCTACACCTACTTGTTCTCGCGACTGATGCTGGTCCGGTAGTCGTCGTCGTCGTCGTCGTCGTCGATATTCCACCATCGTCCTCTGCGACGGTCAACACCGTATTGAATTGCTACTGCTCGTCACAATCATTTTTTGTTCACGCGGTGTTTGGTTCACGTACAAACGACCGTAGGTAAATTATTATCATTACTAGTCCGTTTCCGACGCTATAATCATTAACCGTCACGATCCGCATTCACCAACCGACTTACTACCCAAACCCATGTTGCTCATCCACTGTACTCTCGCACCGTTGTCCCGTTTTCTGGTACTCCATATTCCGTCTCTAATATCGCGTTGTTGTGTTCCCGACAGCGGTCAGTGAAGCTACTTCGTAGCATTGTTGTCATCGGCGTTTGGTCTGATCTGTTGACCGCTCCTTTGCGGCCAGCATGAATTACTTGGGCAAGTTCATCAGTAATTTCCGGCATGTTTACAACGAGATCAATCCGGCCACCCTGACTGGAGCCATTGACATCGTCGTCGTCGAACAACCAGATGGTACGTTCACATGCTCCCCGTTTCATGTGCGCTTTGGCAAGATTGGTGTGCTACGTAGCAGGGAGAAAATTGTAAGTACTGCATTTTTCTGCAATGTTCCTGTTTGCTTCATTTATGACCAACCATCCTTTCATTCCGAAATTCATCACACGAATGGTGTGTGGTGTTTGTCAGGAATGAATTGGCTGCGAAATTTCCCATTGCTATTGAATATCTTTGTTGAAATGTAAAATTTTTTTACCTAGAAAATTTTAAAATATTCTTGTGGCTAAATCCTTGACTCCTTAAGATTAACAAATAATAGCTGAAGCTTTTTGAACTGACTGAAGCTTGCTAAAATATACTATTCAATTTTCATTGCAAACAAATACCAGCCAGAATACTCAACATTTAAAGATCTAAATCTCAAGTTATTCCTTATTACTTATTATTTTTGATAAATTATCTAGAACCACAAATAGGGAAATACTATAGGTATCTACTCTTTTTAAATATAAAAATGAATGAAAATATAGATTTTTCTTCAACTGAGTTATTGCATTTTTATTGAAATTTATGCTTGAAATTAATTATGTAAAGGTGATATAACATGTTATTTTTTTAACCTTTTTAAAGGTTATTTGTAAATTTGCTGTAATTTAAAGAAATGTTGTTTTCGTATAACTAGTTAGTATTTGTGATATAAATATGAACCTAGTTGATAATCAATATTTTTAAATATTATAGATACGATTATAATATACATCTGTTATAATTTAATTAATGACCTTTAAAAGAAAAATCATTGACCCTCTTCATTAATTTTATATTTTGCTGATATACCTACCTACCTAGATTTGATACTTATTAATAGTTATTAATTTTTTTTTTATATATATATTATTGAATTCAAAATCTACTTAAATAGTTTAATTATTCTTTGTCTAAATCAATTTTGAAGTAAATTTCAATTTATTAAAATTTCTATTTCTGTTAAGAAAATGTATTCATTTTCAACAGTAAATAATATTGATATTTTTGATTAACAGAATAAATTTTTTTATTATTCTTAATATAATTAAGATTATATTATATGTATTATTTATCTTTTCTAAGCAAAATAAGATCAAAGATTGCATTAATTGTAAACTTTGTTAAGAAAGAGTAAGAGATTAATATTTATTATTTGAATTTGATATTCAAAATGTAAGGTTATATATGAATGTACATAAAAAAAAGTATGTATATACTTTGTTGTTAAACTTACCTTTAAACACATTTGATATTTATAGTTACCATACCCTGACTTATTCTTATCATATTAATAGTATTCGAAAATCTATTATACTATGTAATCTATTATACCATGCGCACCACTTTTCTAATGACTTAACTTCATATTTTATCTATTAAACTGAATTGCTTTTTTCTTGCCTTTTTTTTTTTTTTACCACAACATATTAACTTAATTTATTTTCTACTATTTTATTTACAATAACACTACCTTTATTTAGATTCTACTTAAAATAATTATAAATTAAATTTTAATTATTATATATTCAGGTACCTCAAAATTAATCTAAAACACTGATGTAATTAGAAATTTGTCTTTGGGGGGGGGGGGGGGGGGAGATATTTTTTTACACACAATATACTTAGATTTTCAATTACAGGGATGAGTGGTACTAACCTGAGAGTACTATTTCATCAAAAATCCTTTAACTAATATATAGGTACACAAAATGTATTAATAAATGTTGCTTTAAAGTTCTACACAATTTAGTACCTATACTATAATATATAGGCTCTGTGGGGGATATATTCCCTTCACCCCCCCTTAATTATGCCCCTGATCTAAAATACATGATTATTATAATTATTCTTTTTGAATATTTACTAAAACATATTTTATGTATGTTACTGATATTTTAGGTTGAAATTGAAATTAATGGCGAGCCTGTTCAGCTTCATATGAAACTTGGAGAATCAGGCGAAGCATTTTTTGTTGAAGAAATTTCAGAAGAAGATGATATTGAAACAATTCCACCTCATTTAGCATGTTCACCAATACCAGATGATGAAGAGTAAAATTAAAAATACATTTCAAGTATTTACATAAATATTCAAAAGTTAATGACTAATATAATTTGATTTTACAGACGAAAATCTATAGAATATGCTATTAACACAGAACTAGTTGTTCCTAAAACATTTTGTGCTGAAACTGTTGATGGTGGAATTCAAGATTTTCAACCGTTAAAGTTTCGACCAATTGAAGACTCCCCACCCCGTCCACAAATGCGTAAACGGAGACGTAAAAAATCTGTGATAAAAAGGAAAGTGAAGGATGAAACTAAAAAACTTGGAAACACATTTGGGTCATGTGATCTTCCTACTCCTTCTTGTTTAAATGATGATCGTTCCCAAGATCAATATGTAGATAATGATTTACATTTCTTTAGTGATACAGATGCATCTCCTAGTTCAAAGTAAGTGTATTCTTTCAGATGTTTTATTAATTATTGTTTATTTTTAAAATATAATATTATTTTAGTTTTGGTGAAGTAAAATATAATTGTACGACTGTCCAGTCCGATACTGAATATGAACTTCAGCAAAGAGCCAGAGATTCAGCTATTGAAAGTCTTATTGGAAAATGTGCAATTAATAAGATTGATTTGAATAATGGTTCTAGTGATCATCAATCTTGGCGTTGGGGAGAATTGCCTACCCCTCCAGCACGTCGTAGTAGTTTGGACTCTGATGATCCTATATCAAATTTACAGGAAGCTTCTAAAAAACAAGAAGCAGCTAATCAAAGATCTATGTTGGCAAATATGTTGGGTTTCATGAAAAAAACCAAACACATTCGCCACAACTCTTCTGAGAATGGCGGAATATATTTAGCTGATTTATGTACAGATCAATTAGATCCAAAGGTATTAGAAATGTATTTATACAATCAAACACCGCCTAGACCTGATGTTAAAATTACTGATGATGTTGATGATGATGACATGGAATCTGGACAAGGAGCTTCATTATCTCATTCACCTACTAGCATGGATAGGGAAGGACCAAAATCTATTGATAGTGATTTTGATGAAAAGTTCCATCAAAAGTAAATATGATTTAATATAATTGTTATTCTATGTATATTAATCAAGAATATTTTAGTTTGCCTTGCGAAGTATCAATTTCTTTATGTGGAGAACTAGATAATTTGAGTAGTACTGATATAATTGAAGAAAAATTTTCCACTCATCAGATTTCATATGCAGAATTTTCTTCAGATTTCAATAATCTTGTAAAGAATCCTAATTTAGTAGTGCGCATAAACAAAAAATATTATAATTGTCAAACTGCTTTGCCTCATTTGATCTCCATAGCTGCTTATCAAAAATTGTTACCCCAGGTATAAGTTAAGCTATAATATTAATTATGATTATTATTTCTCTAAATATATTTTTATAAAGATGATATACTTATTTTTTTAATTACATAGAATGAATACTCTGAAACTAAAGTACAAGAAGAAAAAACTAAAGGTCTCAATCGAGGTTATACATCTTGGTTCAACTGGAGTCGTGCCAGTAAAGATACAAAATCAATTACAACAACAGGTTAACACTTAATACAATATATAATATATTGTATATTATACTAACTGCCGACTAAAAATTTGGAAACACTATTTTAATCAAAATGTATTATTATTGTAAACAGAAATTTCTATCAATGTATCGACAAATATATATATTTACTTATTTAGGCCATTGTTAAAAAAAAATTAAAAAAAATTTAAAATGTGTTCAGTCATCATAACAAAAAAAAAAAACATATTTAGATCAAATTGTTTTCATCATAAAATCCACCCTTGCTTTTGAAGAATGCTCTCACCAACCGTGGCATTCTTTTAACAAGCTTATTCAATACTTCCTGTTCTAGGGAAGCATCTTTTAGTTTTTTCCATAGTAGATAGAACTCCATAGAGTTTTTCCCCAGTAGATGTTTGACAAGGTATTCTTATTTTCTGATCAAGATTTTCCACAAAATTTCAATGGAGTTAAGATTGGTGGTTGCAGTGGCCCTGTCATATTGACAAGTACATCATAAACTTCTTTTTACTCTAATTAACTGGAAAAAAGAACCAAAATGTGTTTTGATCTTTGTCTTGTTGAAAAACAAAACTGGCCAATTTTTTTAAATCCAGATGAAGTACATAATGGATAAGAATATTTTTATATTGTTCATTTTTCATAATAGCATCAACTTTAACTAAATTTCCTATCTCATGACTGGAAGATCAACCCTATACCATTACTGATTACCTGTGTGTCACAAGTTAGAAACAGTAGTCACCGCAGCAAACTGCATAGAGTATACTATTTAATAAGACTTGACAAAGCTGTGCTTCAAAACAAATTCATTGTTACAAAAATTCTTATAAAAAATATTTATTTTCAAATTTTTGATTAGCAGTGTAATATAATATAAAATACATATTATGTGTAGTATATATATATATAAAAAAGTAAAACCCAAGATTATTGCTAAAATTTAAATTATTTTGGTTTATAAATTATTTACTGTGCCTGAATTAATAATTAAAATTTCATTATTACATAAAATATAATTTATTGAATTGAATTTTCAATAGCATTTTCATAAATTTTTTATTTTTAATATTTATTTTACACTTTATAAAAGAAAATATTAATATTTTGAAAGGTGATTCCAATCATTTATCTGAGCAGTTAGTCCAAAATAGCGATATAAATGAATGTATAATGAAATCAGAAATTGATGGGAAAACAGAACATGAAATGGAAACATCTAATAATAACTATGTGTGAGTTTATTCTTTGAAATGATTTAATTTTTATTTTTGTTAATTTAAATTATTTATATATAGCCCAAGACAACGTTGCTATAGTTCAACTGACTCAGAGCTTGAACTAGAAACAACAAAACTTTCATTGAAGTCTTTGAAGGATAAGAATGATATTTGTAGAAAAACTTTAAGATTAACATCAGAGCAAATTGTAAGTATAAATCAATACAAATAAAAAAAAATTAATAGAAAACTAGTTAAATTAAAAATCTTATGTAAATATTAATTTGTTTTACAAAGATTATAGTTTTGAAAAAAATGGTAAGTGTAATTGTTACAATTATATAGTATTAAAAGAAAAAATCATACATTTAATTTAAATGAGGTGTTTTTTTTTTATTTGCATAATTTTGTAATCCACAAGATAAAATGAACTAATATGAATAATTTGTATTATATAATAATTATTACTTATTTTATAGATCTAAGGTAAACTAATATGATTATATTGTTGTAAATTAACTTCATATATCTGAAGTTCCCAAACTTTGGGGTGCGACCCAAAAGTATATTGCAAACAATTTTTAAGATTACTTTTTTAATAAATTTAAAAAGTATTAAATAATTATTTGTATATTTTATCAAATCAAAGAAAAATATTTCAATTAGCAAAAAAAGGTCTATGGTCTGGATTAGTACAAAATGGATTGGATAAATGAAAAGTTTGGTAACCTCTACCAGAGATACTTTTGAATATAAAACTAATGTTTAAATTATATAATTTTAATTAATGATTTAATAAATAACTTATATATGTATATAATATTATATTGACTTAATTATTATCTAAAATAATTTATATTGTTTGTTGTTTCAGGAAAAATTAAATTTAAGAGAAGGTTCTAATGAAATTGTGTTTAGTGTAACAACTGCCTATCAAGGTACTAGTCATTGCAAATGTTTTTTATTTAAATGGCGATATGATGACAAAATTGTTATATCTGATATTGATGGCACCATTACCAAGTAATTATATAATATTATTATATTATTATATATTTATGATTTGTTCAAATTAACATTTGTTTAATTTTTATTTAGATCAGATGTTTTGGGTCATATACTTCCTATTGTTGGTAAAGATTGGGCTCAAAGTGGTGTTGCAAAATTGTTTACTAAGATTAAAGATAATGGTTATAAATTATTATATTTATCAGCTAGAGCTATTGGTCAATCCAGAGTTACCAGAGATTACTTAAAAAGTATCAAACAAGAAGATTTGTCTTTACCAGAAGGACCTGTGCTATTGAATCCAACTAGCTTATTGAATGCATTTCACCGCGAAGTCATTGAGAAAAAACCAGAGGAATTCAAAATTTCTTGTCTCAAAGATATTCAAGCTCTATTTCCTGCTGATAACAAACCATTTTATGCTGGCTATGGAAATAAAATAAATGTTAGTTTCCATTTTGTATATATTTAGTGAATTTGGTTTTATCATTAATCATGTTCATAGTTTTTAGAAATTTTATATAATTTTTACTGCAGTACAAAGAATGTTAAATATATAAAAAAACAGTTTAAAATTGAAAAAAAAAATGAATAACTTAATTTTTATTTTAAATCTCGAATAGTAGATAAAAAGACAGCATTTTGTATTAAAATATTTATGAGATACATTATAATAAACATATATTTAGTCATCATTTATGCTGTGCATATGGTTAAATATTGAATTAAATACAAACTTACTTTAATATTGATATTTTTTTTTTTGAATAATTACTTTCTGGTGTTAACATTTTGTAAAATTTATTGAAAATAAAATCGAAAATAAATTTACCATTCTTAAAGTGTGATTCACAAATCTTTAGTTAAGTAATTCACTAATTTTTATTTTGTTTTAAGGATGTTTGGTCTTATCAAGCTATTGGTATACCAATATCAAGAATATTTACTATAAACCACAAAGGAGAACTGAAACACGAATTAACTCAAACTTTCCAGTCTTCGTAAGTACTATATATCATTATGTATAGTTTTCTTTTCTTCTCTTTCAATTCATTTATCTACATTTCTTGTTCAGTTATAACGGGCAGAGTTGTATCGTTAATGATCTTTTTCCGGTTTTGACATGCAGCGGTGACGTTACAAATCATAAGGACGATTGTAACGTCATCAGTGACAGTAGGGATACCATTAGTACCACTTCTTTTGAGTGTGAAACATTTGGTAAGGGGTCATGATTTTATTTGAGGTGTGCATGAGATAATAATTATAATGCTATCGGATGTAATTTTACTAAAATTATTTAGTACCTCATGATATTAGTAACACAAAAACATTAAATATTATCCAGAGTTCTGGTGAGAAAAATAGTGTATAATTAATTTGAAATTTATATAAATTTCTAAAAGCTATAAAACTAGTCAGTATAAATAATTTTGGCAACTCTTAAAGTTTATAATTAATACTAACTCATAGTTCAATAAGCATTAACATAGTCAAAACTTTTATTTTATCAATAAATTTTACGAAATTTAATTATACCAACTACTAACTGTATTGTCTGCCTTCTGATTGTCTAATAACAATGATCATCTTATACAAGTATTTTCAATATTCAACAAGACTATCACATTACATTGCTTATAAATTATATTTAAATGCAAGTTAATGTTACATATTGTATTAAAATCATTAAATTATTTAAATTTACTATTATTTTTGTTGGATATTATGAATTTTAGGACAAACAATTATATACATTTGTTTGTTAGTTTGAATAAGTTATATCTTAAATGGTGATGACTTATGGCTGAAAAAATATAATTAATTATTTTTAGGTGCTGGTTAATAATGTAATTAACAAAATAGTTAAAACTATTGATTTTTTTTTTTATGAGATCATCAACAACTAATAAAAGTAGAATGATCTTAATTTTTTGTTTGTATATACTATTCAATTGAAGTATAATTGAATTATAATATATAGATATACAGGATGCGATAAAAGTCAGTTCTCGATATATTGTTTTCGATGTACTGCAACAAATATCAACTTTAAACTGCACCAATAATAATGACAACTGGTCGTATTGTCGATATGACATTAATAGGCTTTGTGTTGCGATTGTTATACAAGTGTGTGGTGTGCATTCATTTACCTTCGATAAATATACAAGCTTACAACGGTAAATTTGTATTTCGCAATTTCTTTGTTTTGAAAATCGATGAAATGAATTTTTCTGCATCTTGTATATATATTGAAGTAAAGAATTTTAATTTATTATGAAAAAATATTATATTGAAAAAATATATTATATTGATTTGTAGGAAATTACAAAAGATACTGAGTGATTCATTATGTTTTGGTTTTAAAATATGAGTATACATTTTTCAAAAATTGTAGCGCATTAACTTAGAAATTATATATAATGAATTATTTAATTGATTATTAGAATTCATTGATATTAATAAGTAAATGAATCGTATTTGTTAGTATTAGATTATATTATTCAGTTAGTAATCTAAGCCATTATTTTCTTATTTGCATTAGAAATAATTATCAAGGAGCAAATTCTACTTAATTTATAATTTTTACTATTAATAAACCTTTTGTTAAAAAGTGTTAAACTAATAACATTAAAATTTGCATTACCTAAAATGTATTATTTTTATTTAATTTTAATTTTGTAAAGCTGCATACTCGTAAATATTTAATGAATCGCTTTGTAAATTTATCATTTTATTTATGTAGAAGTTAAATTATAATTTTTAAAAGTTGAGAAATTAATATTTGAAAAACTAAAAACGTAATATCAACTTATGTTGTAACCTAATAAATATTTTAATACAGTGGTTTTTTATATATATTTTTTAGATATACATATATGAGTACAATTGTGGATGAAATGTTCCCTGTGTTACCGATGCAAGAGTTGGATTACAACCAGTTCATTTATTGGCGTGATCCAGTTCCAGATTTTAAATAAGGGAAATTTACCTTTCCTTAAGCTTCAAGTTATGCATACAATTTTAAATTATAAATATATTTATTTAATATTTTACAAAAAAGATTGCCTTAGTGACTTATATTTTTGGTCTGATAGTTCTATTAATTTAATTTGTTATTGTATTCACTATTATAAGCTTAAATTTAATATGTAAGAGAAACACAGAAAAAATAATAATGACAATTAATATTTTTTGTGATACGTAGTCATATAGGTATAATCGAATAGCGGTTATCATATTTTTTATGTAATTTTTGTGATAATAATATATTTACCAATTTTATTGGTCTAGAAAATAAAAATAAATATTTGATCAATTTTCTGGTATGTTTTCAAGATTTAAATAATGATCATAGGTGCAACTAGAGTTCAATTTCTGGGTGGGCTAAATTTTAATGATACCAGAGACCTATAGGGGCTTCGTCCCCACACCCCCAATATTGATTGTCAACACTAACATTTATATTTATATTAATTAGAAGTCCTTACGACCTTACCTATAGTCAATAATAGTTTATTTCGAAGTAAAATGTTGTCACTTAGTCACTACTTACAGACTAATTACCTAAATAAACACAAATAAAAAGGATATAGATATATAATCAATAAAATATACAGTTCATAGCTATTACATTTTTATTATAAAGCCTAATTAAATCAACAATATTTTTAAAGCAAATTTATTTACAATTTCGTTTTCTAAATTTATTTATATACATATTACTAAATTACCTAATAATGAACAATAAACTTCATTAAATCAGTTGTGTCTAATTTACAAAATGAGCTACAACCAAACTGGCCATAGCCAAGCTTTCATCAGTAAACCCAATGTTTAAGATAGGAAATAACACTGTCCATAATAAAATATGTAGAAGTTTTCCAATAATTTTCTACATAATTTGCTAATGACAAATATGAATAATTTTCTGCCGCCGTGGTAGTTGTTAATACATAGTCATGAAGGCTAGTTGACTCTTCTGCGATGCTTTGTTCCTATATTTTTTATGTATTATTTAGGTTAAAAAACATAAAACAAATTATCAAAATCACAAAATATATACACCAGTTAATGGAGTTTGTAACCATATGTCATTTTCTTCAGCAAATATTTTTATTTGTTCCTATAATTTCTTAAATTCATCTTCAGATCTTAGAGTTTCAAATGTTTTAATTACACTAAAAATTACATTTTTAGAAATGTATGACCACTAACGTGTGCTAACGGGGCACACGTTCGTTGTCCTCCGGGCGACCATACAAAAGTTAGTTACATGCATAGACTCGGTTAGTAATATATGGTCGTTTGGATTTGTGCACCGGACTCATTTTTATCGTTTCGAAACAAGATTTTGTGTTTATGTCTCATACATAATAAGTTATTCTTTCCAATTAATTTTTATTTTACCCTGACAAATTATTTTCATATAAAAATGTTTATTTTTTTTTTAGTTTTAACTAAAGCCAATAAAGAGAATTAGAATAATATTCATGTACAGTTGTTTAAGATTTTTATTTGCCCCCGTGCTAAAATCTAAAAGTCGGCGTATACGGAAATCCCACAGATGAGAACTGACAATACCTACTGTACATATAGGAACAAAATTTAAAATTTAATATTAAAACAAATGAAAGATAGTATTTAGACGATATAATTCATCCTATATTCTTTCAGTAATCGACTAGAAAGTTACTTAAACCCACTAATAAGAGTTATATACCTTCATTGAGTTACATAAGCTTATTGGCGTGCGGCCACGGAGTGGTCTTCGTGTCCGCCGCCTTCGGCAATCTGCGGGCCACCACTCACGATGCGTACTATAGATAAGCATTGGTTTAATCTTGATTTGTATTGGGATGGGACATTCATACCGAAAGGTACTAAATTATTTAAGGGTACTACCATCAGATTTATAAAAGATAATTTTCTATAACATTATTTATGTAATTATAACTCGGTTATTATTTTGGATTTGGTATTAGTTAAAAAATATTGTGTTGTAGTGTAATGAAACGGGGAAAATTAATTGAGAGCCGTATTTTTGAATATTTTGAATAGTTGGAGACACTTATTTTCGGTTTTATGTTTCAGGGAAGAGGGACGGCAAAATATTGTTGCTCCTGGGCGAAGAAATCTTAAATACGGCCCTGTCCTAATTCATAGTTATAATGCATTTTCTAAAAATATATCAGTCAATTGGTTTTTTGTCCAACACGTTTTAAATACCATTTACATTTGCCGCCCGTGGGCTAAGAACACAGCCTGTAGTAAATTGATAGATGATAGCGTATACGCGCGGAGAGAGATTTGAGGCCGAGTTGTGGCGAATGGAGCCGATGAACCATAAGTGAGGCATTGTCACGGCATGGCGACGCCAATAATCAACCTCACTCCCGTACCATGCCATTAGATTTATCAAATCGATAAAAAAATAAATCATATACTAGCTTTTTTTCTTTATTTTGGAAAATTTACAATCTATATTTATAATCACAATAAGTAAAATAGAGGATAGATATATACACATACATCAAAATAAACAACACATGAGTACATAACGAAGGAAAACCATCCAATGATGGAACCCTCTGGAAACAAGTTATACAAAAAAATAACACATTTAATATATGACATCTAAAATGTTTACAAGTAGAAAATGTTTTTATAGCATTATGTTAAATATTATTCAATTATTCAACATACAGTAGTATAAAAGTAGTGATAGATAGTGCAATAAATTCAATAAAAAAAAAATAATAATAAAAAATATTTATAAAAAAAAAAAAAAAATTACAATAACTGGTTCATAATTGGTATAATTCAATATCTGAGATTACCTAAATATAATTATTATTATACTAAACATACATAAAAACAAACATACATTAAAGCTATATAATATATATCTATTTAACGATATTTATTTACCTACAATATTTATATGCTTTTACATTTTTTAATAAAATAATCTGATACAGAAGTTAGTGCTACGGACATACATAAATGTAGGTCCTTACGACTTTTACTACAGAGGAGAGACCACATAATAAGAGATCGGGAAATGATTATAAATAATATAATATACACAACAATAGAAAGGAACTATTAATTTAATTAGAGGGTAACACAAGCACATACTATATATGAATCGTATGGCTACATTTCAAAGTGTGACATTAAAAATAACTATTACAGAAAGACATCAGTATGATATTGTTGCGGACATACATGAATGTAGGTCCTTACGACTCTTACAGTACGGGCGGGTCCACATAAATTATAAATATTAGAGAGTAATATAATATTCGCAATAATAGAAAAGAACTATTAGTTTAAAACAGAGAGTAAAGCAATATTACGACTCATACGACATGGACGGGACCATGTAGATCGTAATGGTAGATATCAAGAAAATAATTATTATTAACACAATATTCGCATTCATAAAAATAGAAATGAATTTTAATTAAAAGTCAGAGGGTAAACCAGTACATATATTATATGCGAATCGCATGGTTATATGTA